CCAGTGGCATGCACACATGACAGCTGTCCAGGAGTCACATCTTCACTGGAAACGGCAGTATGACTCCGAATTGCTCACAGCTAAACGTGAACGAACTAAAAAACACCAAGAGACGGTCTTTAGCACCCCTATCAACTCAAAAGCCCGCCGCAATTATCACTTACCCCACAAATATTCTCAACAACCTTTACCTGCAGTAATGAAATCCCCCACCGACCCTACTCAATTAATTACCGGTCAGTCCGTAAACGAGACATGGGGCTCGTCTGCTACTGCAACGCGCCCCAACACCATGCCGGCGGTCTCGACCGAAGCTGGGACTCCACCTTGGCTTCACGCCAACCTTTGGACCAATGCTCATTCACAGATTTCTCCGCTGCAAGACCAGCTTATGGCTCCTATTCAAGCTGGCGAGTTGCGTAGCTTTCTTTCTAATACCGGCGCTTCTTCTCCAGGCTTGGATAAGATTCAATACGATGTCCTACGTTTCATGCTTTTCCGTCCCGAATTTGCTGATCTTCAGCTTTCCCAGATGCTCTTGCGCTTCCTCAATCTCCTGCTTCATATTCAACACATGCCTACCACAATGAAAACGGCCCTTCTCACCTTCATACACAAAGCTGGAGATCCCCTTCACTTTTCAAACTACCGCGGCATCAGTTTACTCAGTTGTTTGTTCAAAATAACTTCACTGGCACCCTCAACGGCCGTCTTCAAAACATCTTGCATTCCCAGGATGGTTTCGATTGCAACCAAGGGGCTAATCGCAAGGGCGTCCATGCAGCACATAAAGCAACAGTGCTCATGAACATTATTGCGGATGCACGCCTTCATAAAAAACCCCTCCACATCATTTACACAGATATCAAGGGTGCATTCCCAAGTGTACCCTATCAGGCCTTCTCCGATGCTCTCACTACTCTTGGCCTCTCTGGTTCGTTTTTGCACCTAATCAAAGATACTCAAACCGACTTCACCGTCACCGCAAGAGGCCCCACAGGATATTCCACCCCCCGTCCAAAACACAACGGCGTTCATGAAGGCGATTGTTTGAGCCCAACCTTATTTTGTCTTGTCTTGAACATGTTTTTTGTATGGCTGAAGTCACATAATCTAGGTTACTCAATGCAGACTAGGCCCCTGCACGAGTTGGCAGACTTAGCCCCCAATCCTCGCATTCCTGTTAATGGATATGCTGACGATATGGCTCTTATTGGTAATAATAATGCTGAGGTAACAACCACTTTGCAAATGCTCGAGCGCTTTCTTTCCTATTACGGCATGGCACTAAACCCAGCCAAGTGCGGCTATCAATATCGATTGGACCGTTTTGCCAGCCGTCCTGATCCCCCCTCCACACGATGGGGCCGAATACCTGTATTCCATGGCAAAACGTCTTACAAATATCTGGGCTACTATGTTAACACCCAGCTGGATTTCACCTACCAACATCAAATGATGGCGGAAAACCTTCAACAAGCTTGTCTGGATTTTTATAGCACACGCTCTATGAGCCTTACCGAAGCAATCACGTACGTCAACTCGGATCTAGTCTCCAAGCTTCGTTATCGAATGTACTTGATTAGCTTTCCCAAAACGTACCTGAAAAAATTTGAAACATCGCTTGCCGGAACAGTCAAACGACTTGCTCGCCTTGCAAGTTCGACACCTACCGACTTGCTAATCAACCAAGGTCTTCAAAACGTGTATCTTCTGCAAGCTATCACACGAGCTGATTACCTTCAGGCAGCTCTTCAGGCTCCTGACATGGCATGTCGCCTTACCTCGCAGCTTAGTTACAATGCACTCTGTGATCTTCCTGTTCTACAAGGACGTCCACCATTTTCTCCAGCAGGTCTACCGATTGGTTGGAAGGAATCTCGATTTTCTCCACTCCTACGCGGGGTTCGTGATCATCTTGTCTCCACGAATTGCTCACTTTTCATCAATTTCGACAAGTCAGTACAACTTGCTAGTCGAAAATATGCACACTCTCCTTCCGCTAGCGTACTCAGAGTTGTCAAATCTTCTTCACTGCCACCTTACTCGTATCCACATTGTTCGTCTGTTTCAGAATCTTCACAACGCTGGGCTTACAGAGTTAGCCGATCTTTCGCCCCTTTTTTGAACATCCAATTGCTACTCCCGAATCCGAAAATTGGACCCTACAAAAGGGTCGACTCTCCAAAACATTTGCACAAACTGCCGCGAGCACTACCCGGGTTTTGCATGCTGATCTTCATATTCCAAATTGCAGCGCTGCTCAACTTCGTCTTCTCCGACTTCTTCTCCGACTTCTTCTGGAACGCCTGCTCGCACCATACTCGGACGGAATGCCTCCTTTACATGCTGCCCCTGCGGAAACGGCTTCACATTGGGGCACGCTACCGAAATACACCAGCCTCGCCACATCAATATACACAGACGGCAGTGCCATGCGCAATGATACACGGGCTGGCTTTGGTTTTTAGTACTTTCCGGATTTGCCAG